CAGACTCCCCGCCGAGCAGGGAGCCCGATGCGGGACTCGATCCCAGGACCCCGGGATCATGACCTGAGCCGAAGGCAGACGCTTAACCAACTGAGCCACCTGGACATCTCCCTTCTCCTCCTCACCCTGCCCTGGAGATTGTGGTCGCTTTCACAGCAGAGACTTGGGCCTTTTGATAATGCCTAGCCCTTCAAGACCCTGCATGCCACCTCCCGGGGTCGCCCTCCTGGCAGCCCTCCTGAGCTCGTGCGGGTCCCTGAGCCAGGTCCACGCACTGATGGGAGTGAGAACTACCACATGTGTACTGGGCAGGACACTCAGAGCTTTATATACATCACCTCCAGTGTTCGCTGGGAGGTTACTGTTAGTCCCACTTCACAGTTGAGAAAACGAGGTAAAAAGAGGTCCAAGCAGCAAGCACCCTGCGCGCAGGGCTGAGCCAGGCCTTGAACATGGTGTCTGACTCAGGCTCGTGTTCTCTCCACCACGCCACCACCTCCCCCTGTAAGACCTTCTTCCTCTTCCGCAGGGGTACAAACTCCAGATAATAGAGGTGCCCGTCCTCTCGGATGACTCGGCCTCCGTCGGCGTGCTGGGAGGAGACTACTACAGGTGACCCCGATTCGCAAGGCTGCTGGGAACAGTGGGTGCCCAGCAAGTGCCACTTCCCCATGGGGAGCAGCTCCTGCTCCGGGAGCGCCCCCCAAGAAGCCCTCGGTGGAAGCTCTTTGCTGCCCAGCCCCGTGTTCAGTGAGGGGGGTGGGTGGGAGCACGCCCGGGTTTCTGCCCGTCTCTGGCAGCCACACCGTTGGCAGCACCTGCCAGCGTCCGTGCTGGGCCCTCGGGCGTCCCTGCCGGCTCTGTGGCTTCCCGCGGCCCGGACGCGGCCGTCGGCAGGCCCCACGCAGGGCTGGGAACCCAGAGGGGTGGACCGCGCGGCCCAGGGCCGAGCCTCGTGCGGTTGGCCAGGTGCTGGGGCCTCGCGAGGTGACAGTGTCCGTGCCGTGCTGGGAGGGGCGCCCGCGTCTGGGAGGGCTGCTGGGGCCCCGCTCCTGAATCCCACCCCCCTTCCTCCAGGAAGCTCCTGCGCTACTACAGCAAGGGCCACCCGGCCGAGGCCGTCAAGTGCCACGAGCTGCTGGCCCTCCACCTGTCGGTCATCCCCACAGACGTGCTGGTGCAGCAGGCCGGCGAGCTGGCCCGGCGCCTGTGGGAGACCTCCCACGTCCCCTTGCTCTAGGCCAGGGCGCCGCAGGCTGGCTGTGCAGCCCGGCCCCCTGCAGAGCAGCCGCTAAGGGTAGGACAGCCCCCCGGCTCTCTTAAAGAAACCACCTAGACTAGGCTCCCCTCCAGGTTCCAAACCCCCAAATCCTTCTCTTTGGGGGAGGAGGGAGGCCAGGGGGTCCCTTGGTCTCCTTAAAAGAACAGTGGCTGTGAGGTTAGAACTGGGGCACCTGCTTTCAGAGCTGCCTCTGTCTTGATCCCCAGGAGACAGGACGTCCCTGGGGTCTGCGGGTGTCTGAAGATACCTCCTTTATGCTTTCCTTGGAGTGGAGAAAGAGCTTCCTCGGGAAGCCGTTTCCCTCCCCAAATGCAAGGTGCTGCCTTGGCTGGGTGGGCCACTTCCTCTCTGCAGCTCTGGGCGGGTTTCCGACACTCTACACCCGTTTCCCCTGCGTTCGGAGGGATAGCACCTACCTCTCAGGGTGGTTGTGAGGGCTGCCCGGCACGCGGCAGGTGCTCAATAAATGTTGGTTGTGGTCACTGTTGTTCAAGCCAAACGTGCCTGGGCTCCTGGGCTCTTCCTGGTGCGTAGAAGTCCTGGTCCATCCGCACCCTGCTCCGTCCCGACTCCTGCCTCAGCCCCACCTCAGAGATCCGTGTTCCTCGGTCCTCTGGATCCCAGGCAGAGGTTTATAAAAACTCCCCAGCCGATCCCTGTGTGCCCTGGGTTGAGAACCACTGCCTCAGGGGGACGGCCCCTCTCCTGTCACCTAGAAGCTCCCACCGCAGGTCAGGGCACCCGAGCCCTGGGACTGGGGAGCGTCTGCCGCGGGGAGGAGAGAAGCACCGTGCAGGAGGAGGCACCCAGGCAGCGTTTCTGACCGGCTGACAGCAGCCGGCCCTTCCGTGTCTTCAGTCTTGAGCCAAAATTCACGCAAAGACTCTTTTCTGTTAAGGAAACAGCTGGTGGGGGTGAAGGGGGGGCAGAACCACACCTCACACTAATGTCCTCAGACGTGGCAGTGAGGGACAGTCGCCTGAGGTGCCTGGGACCACATGCCTCCTTAATATCTTGACTTTACGAATGGAAATTTAACATCAGTTGTGGAAAACACAGGAGAGCACAAAGCGGGGGAAAGTAAGTCTAGATGCCCACTGCTGCTTAGGGTACCCGCTTCTGTCACCTACTGTTGTCCCTTAAATTTTTAGTAGCTGCATGATGTCGACATGTCTAGTTGAACCAATCCCCCGAATTTTTCAATATTGTAACACTGGGGCGAGCATCCTGCATCAGACTCCAGCATAGTTTCACACACAGTGTAAACCTGACGTGCGGACGGGTGTCTCTTTCATGAGTAGAGGGATCGCGGAAGGCTCTCCTGCTCAGACGCACCTTCCCTGCATACTCTCCCAATTTTAAGGTGCATTTCTAATAGCGGGTTTCTAGAATATGGACAGATGTCATGGCAGTACAGAAACTCAACTCTTGGGTGCTTTTTTCCTCTAACAAGAGGAATGGCCTGCTAGCTAATGGGCAGAGAACAAAGGAGCTCCTAATTCCAGGCAGTCCAAAGCATAGCAAGAAAGTGTGTTAGCTGAAGGTATTTGTGGATGTGATCTTTAATCCTTGAGGATTCTGGGGATATTGGAAAGGTGCCAAAGACGAGAGGGATGTCCAGGCTGTCAAAAGAAGGCGGCGAACCCCAAACTCCCCAGCCCTTGCAGGCTTCCGCGGCAGCCTATTCTGAGTGCAAGGTGTTTCAGGGTCTGGGAGGGAGCACGCAGCTCTCCAGGGACTGCAGCGACAGATGTCCCCCCCCCCACCCCCATAGTTTTGCTGAGGCCCTGGTCAAGGCGACCCTGTGGGGTGTAGAGCCGCTCACCATCCTGCAGGCGGAAAGATGGGGAGCTAGGGCAGAGTCTGACCAGTATCTCCTCAGTATTCGCTCCCCAGCACACCCTGGACAGTAAACTCCTTAATGAGGAGCAGGACAGTGCTGGGGAGGGGGCCCCACCAACCTGCTCACTGGCTGCATGACCTCCGCCCCCCCTTCTCCAAGCCTCAGTGCCCCTCGTCCATGAAACGGGAGTTCTGGGGCCTCCGTGAGCACAGCACCTCACACGTGGGAGCCCTAGAGTGACCAGCACAGTGGCTCTCCTCTGCGGCCTGGAGGGGACCCAACTTCAGCACGGTGAACGGGCGGCCTCCTGAGACTCTGCCCTGTGTGGACTCGTGAGCTGCATGTCCTCATGGCCCAAAGCCAAGTACGGCAGCTGGACTGCAGCTTCTCCTCTCTTCCTGTTTGCTCCCTGACCCTCCCCCCACCTGGGCTGCACAAAAGCTGATTGTAAGCAAATTCCTGGCCTACTGCTGGGCTGAAATGGCTGCAAGTGGCCCAGGTTTCGGCAGGGCCTTGGGTGCCTCTCCCTGCCCGGCTTGGAGACGAGCTCACTGGGAAGCCAGGGGATGCCTAAAGCCTGAGTACGATGCCGTGGTGATAGGAGCAGGTAAACGGGCTGTGCCAGAGCTGAGGGCCGGGGGGGCAGCCCTGCTCAGAGCCCCTGGGGCTGAGGGGGGGGCATCCCCAAGCCCCCCACCTCCCTCTGCTCTGGGCACAGGCTGGCCGGGGTTTGGGCCAGAGCAGGGGCGGTGGTGGAAAGTCCGCTTGGTCTGTGAGCAGGCACCGAGGTTGTGGGGCTGCCATCAACTTGCTCGTGGTCTGGGGCAGATTCTTGACCTCTCTAGGCTCGGGTCTGCCCTTCTAGAATGACCAGGGAGGAATAGGTGAGCTCAGGAGTTTCCATGTATCTCCTGCAAAATTAGCTAGTTGCCACCACTCTTGGAAAGCAGATGGTACGCAAGGGTTGGAAAGAAAGAGCTTGCCATAAAAGACCCATGAAATCCAGCCACCCCAAGTGCCCTCCCTGAGTTCTGGTCACCACCACCTCACCACTAGGACTACCCATTCCCCCAAGGAAACTGGGAGTTAGGAAAAAATAGAAATGAGTCGCAGAGATCCTAGTGCATGTCTGCGGAGGGTGACAGCCCCCATTGTCTTGCCTGTCTGGGGCACATAGGGTCGGTCCTACTGCACTTTGCTGACGCCCAGGCTGCAGGGTGTCCGATTCCGCCGCGTAACTGTGGGAGGCCACAGGGTCCGGACCAGGTTGTCTTTGCTCAGAGCCTTCCATTCACACTCCCAGGGGGCCCCAAATTTCAACTTCTGGTATTCTCTCCCACTGGGTTTCGACAGACAATGGCAGGATCGAAAGAAGATGCTCATCACCGTTTTAAAGTGCATCCTGTCCTGCCAGCTCTTCATTCTTGTATGCTCCGAGAGCAGTCGTGGCCAGGAAATGTTATAGTCGCCCCTCCAGGGAAAATGTGTGTGGACATATATACGGAAGCTTATGATAAATGCTGAAATAGAGGAAGTATAGCACACACGTTTACAAGGAAGATACACGATACTCTAAATTCCAGGTAGCCAGTTGGCTCTCACCAAAGTTCTGTGATTTTTGCTAAACTTAGCAGCAAACCTGTGCTTACTCCCAACCGATCAGGCCGGCTCGGAAGGGAACGTGGTTTTCCGTTTGCACTGCCTTTAAAGAGTAGAACCGACGGGAAGCAACAGTCACACCCGAACTTCACTCCTCCCGTGATGGGAGAGACTTTGCTCCGTCAGATGACATTTCTCCCGCACTGGGAGAAGATTCTCTCGAGGTTTTGTGCCATTTGCCGCGGAACAGCTGCAGACACAGCGCACGGTCGGGTTTCATCTGCATCGTTCGTGTTTTCTCCATCACTTTCTCACACGGAACCGTCAACAGAGTAATACGGCCAAGCCCTGAGGGGTGCTGTCGGCTGGCTTCCGTGGTTCAAGTACTCCCACCACGGCCTTTTTCAAGTTGCCACCATGAGGGGCCTGTGCGTGCACTTGGGAGAGAGGCACGGCCGCTGACGGCTGCTCAGAGGTGAAGAACTGCAGGAGCATAGGTCATGGTAAACTGTGGAAAAACGATGAGGAAGTGACAAGTTTTGAGTATTTATTGCCTTTGCTTTTAATATAATTTATTTCACTGTAAGTTTATAATAATCTAAATTTTAATAATGGCGGTGTTTGACGAGCGTCACAAACATCCTGGCCGGGGGAAGCCAGCTCCAGGCTTCACTGATTGGGAAGGTGTCATGCCCCACCCCCACCCCCGCTTTTCTGGCCTTGGTGACAGCACATCCCTGCTGTCTCCTGGCACAGAGGGTTGACTCCAGGTCACCAGAGGCGTAGGTGACTTGCCCACACGTGTGTGAGTCTCAGGTGTGAGTTTTTCCTTGATGTTGTTTCTTCATTTGCTGAGCATTCAGGGCAGCCCGGTTTAATTAAGGGCATTTGGGAATCAAGTGAGGGACAGAGTGGCATCTTCTGAGAGAAGGGTTAGCTCTGCTCCCTGAGGTCACACGAGTATCTGGGGGCCACTTTGAAGACGAACCCTAATTAGTGCCTTGGCTAAATATGCCTAAGAATGACCCAAGGAGCTTGTTAAAATGCAGTTCCTGGGCCCTATCCCTGGTGATTAGGATTGAGAGGAAGTCAGCGCATCCAACCAGAATTTGGAGCGGGTCCAGTGCAGGCAGCTGCAAGCCACACTTGAGAACCCGTGTTCAGAGCGCGGCTTCTCTCGAGAGCCCCACATGCCTGGCTAGCTGAGGATCCCTGGAGTCAGGCTGGAGATGATCAGAGTTTGCAGCTTCAGACCCCCTCAGGGGGAAAGGAGAGGTCACCAGCAGCCCCAGGAGGGCTCAGGCAGGACTAGGGATGGAGTGGTGGAGGGCCGAGGGTCCTGGGCTGTTGGAATCTTGACCTTTGTCATTTGAGGTCTGTTTGTGCATTTGTGGGCTCATGTGATGATTGAACTGGACCCAGTTGCGTGGAAGCCTTTATTAGTTTTCCAAGATTTATGATCAGCACTATCTAAGAGACAAATAGCTACCATTTATCGTTGAGTCTGCTGAGGGTCAGGTGCTTTACATATATTATTGGTTATTCTCGCTCCAACACTGCAAGAAGCCTGAAGCTCATGGCCGGTCAGAATGACTCTCTGAGGGCCACGTCCTGTAAATAGCAGGAGCCAGGTTGAGCCCAGGACAGTCGGCCTTTAATTTGATGTATATATTTGAGAGCAGGCCTTTCCAAACTGTGGGCTGCAACTCGCTCATGAATCCCATCCAGCAAAGCTTTTAAACCTTAAGAAACTTTTCAAAAGTACATAAAAATAGTATATTAACCCGTCTTTTTAAATGAAATATAATCAAATAGATCATCACATGCTTATCACATGGTGAGTTAATATGAGTTCATGAAACTTTTGTTTCTGTGGATACATTTGTATGTGGGGTGCAGGCCAGGTCACAGGGTAAGACGCACTTCTTCATGTGGCTCGTGGTCAAAGAAGGTTGAAAAACTATTTCAGAGATTCCTTTAATGGAAGAGAAGTTGGCTCAGTGACCTCTAAAATTCTGGGTGTCTCTGTATGGAAAATGGAAAACAAAGTCAGCTCAGCCA